TAAGACCAGACCGAGACCCATGTCATATCAACCCAACCCCCAAAGCTTGATGTGTCCCCCCTTCCAAAATCCAACTCAAAGATGAATGTTATTGTTTTGAATTTGAATACAAAAAGAATAAAAAATGAGCCCTATAATTGGTCCAAATTGGAGATGATTTAGTGCTACCAATGCAATCATGAATCTAGAATTAACAAAGACAAAATGAAAAGATTGAGCCTTAAAAATACTCTCTTTATTTTTTAGATATACATTTCAATTATCTAAAAATCATTACATGGGAAAGCACTTAAAACCAATATCAACAAATTTCCACATTATTTCCTTCATAGCATATCATCATTTAAAGTCCATCAAAAGTCCATCAAAGAGTCATAATTGTCTGATAGTGTTTGAATTTTAATAATTTTTTTACAAGCCAGATTAAACTAAAATTTTGTAGGTACGTGCGTCTTAACGAGATACAGTACGTGCATCTTAGCGAGATACACCTTAATAAACTATAAAACTAAAAAATAATCTAAATAATAAAAACCACCAAATTACCCCTATAAATATTTCAAATATATTTTTGTATTTTATTTTTTCGACCATTTTTAATATTTTATTTAAGCAAGAGTTGGTTAGATATACACACTCTCCAAATGTCAAATGAATTAGAATCGTAGAAAATCATAAAAATTCAAATACTATCAGATAATTGTGACCATACAATGGACTTTAAATGGAGGTGAGCCATGGGCGAAATATTATAAAAATTCACTAATGAGTGTTTATATTTTCTCATCACGTGAATGTTGTTTTTGGATCTCTATTGTTATTTACGCAAGATCATCCATATTAAATTTAAAATTCCATTTTTATGAATTTGAGGCAGAAATGGGCTTGTACACCGACTCAAGATGCATTCGAATCCCAAAACCCTCGAAAAACTCGATAGACACATGACCAAGCAGACTCATAAAAAACTTTTCATTGATAGGAGTACGAGTGTAGGCCCAATCTACTGTGTCTCCAGCAAAATAGTAGACACAGTAAGGGTCACTTGGCCATCTTAATGAGTTTTATTACTGCTTAATCACCATTGCATAGCTCTATTAAACTTGGGACAGATTACAAGGTTTGCTTTTAAAACACACGTATTTTAGTAATGGATGAGGTTTTCATAAGTCCTAGGCTTTGTGAAAACAAAATAAACCTTCATCTCAAATCTTCGTCAAGAAAGCACTTTTGGCAATGGAAATCTCCATGATGGCTCTAAACTCAATTTTCAACACTAACAATGAAATTTGAAACTCGAAAAATGGTACCGATCTTGTGGATCTATAAACATTTATTTTTAGGGCGAAATACACAATTTAGATAATGTTGTTAAAATAAATAAAAAAATAGACGATCTATATAATTTATTATAAAGTACAACTATTTTTAGAACTGCATCCTTACCAAACCAATTTCATTTAGTAATTCAATAATCTTGACCATGCCTTTTTTTATTAAAAATAAAAAAACTTCTCAAAATATACATAAGATATAAGATAAACCGTTTATCATTTGATTCATATCTTTTGGTTTAATTTCAAAAAAATCCTCTAAAATAATGTCACCTTTAGTTGGGATAGCTGTAAAAGAGATAAACTGATAAATCATTGAAATGTTAGCCTATTTTAATAAGGGTGTAGTTTGTTCGATGCTCTAAACAATCGAAGTAAAGCGGACCTTCAAATAGTGTCGAGGAATGTAGTTTCAATATTAGAAATCTTTGTGATAGCCTTAAAATATATTTTTATTTTTAATTATAAAATTTAAAGCTTCAAATATAGTGTAGATCGAGCAATCTATGAAAGCTTGAAATTCTTGAAAATTGATGGTTCAAAAATGCATTATAAGATGAGCTACTTCCAAAACTTGAAATCTTTTTTTTTTTTTGGTCATGTCCATACATCTTGATGTCAAGATGATCGATTTGAGGATATTTGGGCATCAAAACAACCTCTTCTAGTGAAATTTGCTTTAATTTGATTGTTCAGAGTGTAGGCTCTATACAAACTTTTTTTCTTTAATAAATCTCCCAAAAAATATAAAAAAGATTGAGTAAATCACTAAAAAAACACGGTGGTCAAACTTGCTCTAAGATGTGTAGATAGATACATCAAAGCGAGGATGATGTATATATTATCACGTGTTGCGTCCGTACATTTGCACACACCTAGGCACTTGGAGGATTGGGCAATGTTGTCATATTCGTTTCAGAGTCTTTTTCGGTGTGGTGAGAAAAATGAAGCAATTCGATATTTCCATCGATTCGAAAAAAGACTTCAAACTTTTTTTAATTTAATATAAATAAATTAGACATTTCATATAAAATATATAAAAATAATAGAAACAAATTAAAAATTTAAAAAAATACTTTTATATAGGTATTTCTTTTCTAATTGAAGCAACCCGAAGCTTCGGCCAAAACAGACCGGAAGCAGACCGAATCAGGTTGAAGCAGCCCGAATCTGATCGAAGCGGTTGTAGCATGCTTTGGTTTATGCTTAAAATCCGAATGCTTTGGCCGAAACGAAGAGAATTTGAGAACATTGGACTTGGGACTCAATTTTATCCGACTCTAGGGAACATTTGAAATTTACTTATTAACATGCAATGGGCTATTTGATTGGGGATTCTATTCAAGAAGGTCAACTTTACTTAGCATTTGATGTGAAATCTAACATATCAAATTGTATCATACTCTTTGAAAAAAATTATTCTAGACTTTGTGTTCAATTAGTGACACATCACAACCCATCTGATTTCACATCCAATAGTTGACAATAATTGTGACCTTATATAAAAAAAAATGGTCTCATCATATACATTTGATTATATACATTTGATTGCTTTAGATTCTGGCCAACTAATGGAATTTTGATTGTATTTCTACTAGGAAGTAAATGTGAAGCAAGGTTTTAGAAAAACAGATCTATGACTCGGATTGCCCATGTAGTAAATTGGACCAGTTCAGTAGACTAACGGTGCGGATTGGCGATCTAGCCAAGTAAAATGGCCGATAAAAAATTATTTAAAAAAAAAAGAAAAAAGAAAGTGGAGCCAATTCCAACCAGTTCTTAAAATTTTATGGGATTCAGATCGGCTTGATCAATTCTCAATTCAGATTGGTCGATTCCGATCCAGAGCACCATTTTTTCATCCGTAGTATGAATGGTTTGAATGTTAGAAGGACTTGTTTATGGCATCCGTAGTATGAAGGGTTTGAATGTTAGAAGGACTTGTTTATGGCCAAAGCTAAGTGCTAATGAAGCTAACTTTTTCTTGGGTCTGTTCAAGTCCCTATGTATGGAGAGAGAGAGAGAGAGAGAGAGAGTTGCAGAGGACAAGTCAATAGTCTGTCATGAAGTGATGAATTTTCTAGTGATGGTAAAAGATAGAGAGTATTTTGGTCCCTCTAAGGGAACGACCAGCTAGCATAGTGTTTGGTGGCTTATTGTAATTGATAGAGAGAGAGAGAGAGGAATATCGTAGTCTATACACACCGACTCACGGGTGCATGGACACCTTTTTAGGCTTCGACAGAAAAGGAAAGCTGTATTTCACACCATTCCCTTTCCCTATGGCAAAACTCAATGCTCTTCCCACTTTTGGTAATCCTCTTTTCCCAACCCTGAAATTAAATGACGACTCTTTCCTTTTCCATGGTCTACAATATGCTTAGATGTGAAAACAACGTTTTCCCTATTCCAACACTTCCTTTGGTAAACAACTCCTTCTTGGTTTTCTCTCTCTTCCCATTTATGCGAGGATTTTCATGAGATCCCTTTTATCTTCATTTAGATAGAGAAAAAGAGGATAGGGGCAAAGTTACAAAATGTAGGGCCTTTGATTTACATTTGTGTCAAGGTTTAAAATGTTAGTATTCAAAAAAATGGTCCAAAGTGGAAACAGATTAAAAGAGTCAATGGAATGAAAGAAGCTCTTCTACGTAACTGTCCATTGCAGAGGAAAAGATGATTTTACTGATTTTGTCATCTAAGACCGACCCGAATTGGGCCGGGACAAACAAATATGAAGAAAAATAAAAGAAAAAACAAGGAAAAAAATAAGAGAGCCATGCCGGGTCAGGTACTGGCCCTAGCCTGGACCTAGCCCTACTTTTTTAGGGCTCGGCTGCCCCAGCCATTGCCTGCCCTACGTGACAATGGCCATGCACTACCAAACTTTCGGCGTCCCTGATTATGATTATACCAAAGCAAGACTACAGACTTTAAATTACCCTCGAACCTTAAATATGAAATTTGAGTTAAATTTGAGAACAATTTCTAATAAACCCTGGTAAAATTTCAGGTAAAAAACATATGGCATTGACTAGCTTTTAACTATAAGAGCCTGTTTCAATCCTTGGATAAGTAAGACTACAGACTTTAAATTACCCTCGAACCTTAAATATGAAATTTGAGTTAAATTTGAGAACAATTTCTAATAAACCCTGGTAAAATTTTCAGGTAAAAAAATATGGCACTGACTAGCTTTTAACTATAAGCCTGTTTCAATCCTTTGATAAGTCTGTCAAGACTAATGAGTATTACTTCATATAAAATATGACTATTCTAGAAAGAGCTTCGTTCTTTTGTTTGGCTCACACTTATTATATACATGGATTATTCATGTTTGTGTTATATGCTGCACGGTTGAAGCCATGAATGAGAGAGAGAGAGAGAGAGAGAGAGAGAGAGAGAGAGAGCCCAATGAGCAACTCTAATTTCAAATATCCATTTTCACATAAACATACCTGAGTGGATCCACCACCAATTAAACATAATCTTTTTGAAAAAGTTAAAAATAATTGGTATTAAATAAGATATGGAAATTTACAATTGTCCCAACAGCCACTAATGAAACATAACCATCCTGCTGTCGTACATAATAATGCATTAGAAAAAAAACACCGAGAGAGAGTGAAAGAGAATATACAAAGTGCATGCAATGTACAACTTATCACATCAAACTTTCTTCTATCCATTCATTAAAGAAATACATTAAAATGGGGAAAACAAAAAGAAAGAACAAGTATATTCACTTTCAAAGGAAATAACAAGTATATTCACTTCCAAAGGAAATAATAAAATGGGGAAAACAAAAAGATGCACACAATATCTAAAAGCTATTGTGCATCACACATCTCTTTCACCCAAACTAACCGGCGATGACCCTCAAGTGTCATAAATATAGTTGCATTCTTTTCATCCTTCAACATTTCACAGGCTTTCCTTAATAGTTCATCATCCAAGCCTTCCATTGCTTGTAATTCTTCTATACAATTCTTTAGCCCTTGATTTGAGCTAGCCTCTGCATCTAGACTTGCCCTAAGCCTCGAATTGGCTGCCATCTCTAGTAGGGCCTCAATGATACTCTCATGCTTTCGCACTCTTTTTCTACGTCGTGATGAAGTGGGGGCTGCAGATCTAGATTTCTTGTGTTTATCCAATGCATCCATGTTTCCTTTTGAACCTAAGGACTTGACATTTGGTGTAGCCATATGCTCATTGTTGATAGCTGGAGATTCTAAACCTCCTATCATACTAGTTGATTCTTGCATAACTTCTTCACTGCGACTAGATAGTACATATCTACCATCAGCATTTGAATTTCCAAAAAGTATGCCCAATGCTTCCATCAATGGTAAGCCTTTTGTTCTGTAAGGCTTGGCCTCGGGGTGTTCCTACATGGACAATATGTAAGGTACTTACAACAGGAACATAAATTGAGAATTTCATTAAAAACCCAACATACCAAAATATAGCGATCCCAGGTTTCAGCATTCGCTATCACAGCATTTCTGGTGCAGTCCCAAACAAAAGCACTTTCGCCAAGAAGAGTCATAACAATGGTGTACTCCCTCGTGAAGTGTTTATAGCGATTTCTTAGTTGTTCGTCATCGAGGTTTTGATTGAATTTCTTGTTGAATTCGAGGAGCATATAGCGCCATGATTCTTTTTTAAAGCCCTTCTCTATCTTTTGTCCTTTACATGCTTGGTCAACCATTAGGCCAATGAGGAACTCATCCCAAGTTGGTGTCCATGGTACCCTTCTTCGCGTACGTTTAGGTGGTGGACTATCCATATTTCACAATCCCTGCAAGTTGTCTTGGTATCAAACTCCGTCAGTCTTATGGCAACTTAAATTTATAAACAAGTAGGTTCTCATCCTAAAGACGCATCACATTTCCCTAGCAACTAAAATTTATGAACAAGTAGGTTCTCAACCTAAACACACATCACATTTCACTAGCAATATATAAGCGAGGCATTAAGTAAAGCCGTTCTTTTGACAACAATGCTTAAACGGAAAATTTTCACATCGAAATACAAGTTCATAATTCTTAATGCATAAAGATCCATACTTACCCAAAGATCCATTTCCCACTATCCCAAGATTGCATTTCAAGAATGCAAAAATATCTACAAAAATGAGCCGGCTTTGTCTTAATGAAAATTTAAAAGAGCATAAACTTCACTCTAGTCACAAGCAAATTTAGGTCATACACTTCCGCAATATATCCGAGGAAAAGAAACCCACCAAAAACACTGAAGAGAAAGAGAGAGAGAGAAAGAGAGAGAGAGAGAGAGCAACTGACCTTGAAAAGGAAAAGTATACATGATGAATGAAGAAATTAAGTTACAAGACAAGACAAAACATTCCCATTTGGACAGAGAAATTTACACAAGAACAAAGAAATGTGATAATGAAAATAGAAGAAAAATATCATGCAATGCAACCAACAATTCTACACAAAAAACCTCTGGGCAGGTTGTGACAAAAGAAGCTGTCAACTGAACGGTCTCTGTCTAATTTAACTCTATAAAAATTCCTGAGGCTTAGTTTCCTCCACACTTCCAAAAAGTAACCCCAGACTTCTCTCAAACCCAAAACCCAATCACTAATAGATCCTTTAATTACAAAAAAAAACCCAAAAACCCAGTCAACTAAAGAATCTTTTTAGTCTCTGAAAGGAAAACCTAATTTTCACATTCAATCAACATTGAACACCCAAGGCCTTTATTCCCAAAAAACCCTAAATTCCAGAACCCTCATAAACCATAAAAGTAATAAAAAATAACAATTGAATCAGCAAAATACAGCCCTATCATTAAAAATATCAAATTCAGCAACACCACAATCCAAAACCCATGGAAACCCACAACAACACTCTTTTATTCACTAGTTAATAAAATACAGAGAGCACCAGAAGAGAGTGTGAATAAAATAGAAATCATCATTGCATCATGAACCATACTGTTGGGTGCACTGCCATGGTAAAATGGTGCACAACACAAAGTGCGAAGGAACATAGGTAACTATATGATCTTGTGGCTGGTAGATGACAAAGCTCAGCATCCTATATCAGTTATGGGTTAACAGTACATCAAGCTTCTCACCACATTAGACAAAAAAGGAGCGAAGAAAAGCAAATCTTGCAGTTGGCCTCCTACTGTTTGGACACCCCTTATCAACGTACAATGAGATGATGATGAATTCAGGAGAAGCCTATAGACATAACGCCGTCCCACTATTGCCATATGTGATAAGAACCATAGTCCTCGAGCCTTTGATGCTAGACTAACAAACTAAAGGCCGTTATGACCTAATAAGAACAATAGCCCTCAAACATTTCCACATAATAGTTAATATTATGTCGGAAAATTCTATCATATTCATCAGGGTCAAGGGATATAATGTTCAAATTGAGGAAACCAGGATAAGGCTGCCTTAAATATCTCTATGTTGCCACAATCCCTAGACGAACCAATGTGGCATTTCTTTTGGAAAGCTGCCCATAGATTTGAATGAGTTCACTGGCCAACAGAAGAAGTTAGAGACATAATGTTTAATTTAAATAAGGGTGCAGTTGGCTTACGGATG